GAGACGTTAGGGGGGTGTGCGAGGCTGAAGTTTGCGGAGTTTAGAGTGTAGGGTGGTGTGAAGTGATGGTGTCTGGTTGAATGCAGGTAGACAGAAAATTAAAGTAGAGACCCTGTTTGAGAGCAAATGCACATGGCTTCTCTCTACTCAGCGATGCCCGCAATTCTTCACTAGGCAATTACCTGCAGCAAGACAGTACGTCCTTCGAAACGTGTAGAACCCTGTTTCACACACGCAGGTAGGCACCAAGTTGGGTCCGTCTGGGTAGCACAACACCCCATGGCCGCTGCAACCGCCAGCGGCAGAACCCATTGAGATGCCGCAAAACGCGCGGCACGTTGACTGCGTGCGTTGCACTGGTGTGGTTTCTCCCGAAGCCAGTTTGAAGCAGTTGGAATCGAGCAGGTCTGACGGCTGTGCAGGCAGAGTGCCCGAGAGGTAGTTGTATGAAAGCACAGCGAGGACGTTAGCTGGCTTCACAAGGCCGCCCGTGAGATAGTTGTGAGAGAGGTCGCTGTGAGGGTGGAGCAAACGCAGGAAGAAAGGGCCGAAAGACAGTGGGAGATAGCACGTTACCCATTTCAAAGCATTTGAAGGCGACAAGGTGAGGTTGCGACAGATACCATGTGTGGTTGTTATTTCAATCGAACAAGTGAAGTTGGTGTGCAGGAGGGAGGCCAGGGGTGAAGACAGTAGTTAATCTTCCCGTTGTGCCATAACGCTCACCGATACATTTTGTAGAACAAGAACAGGGGTGTTATGGTGAATTGATATGATTATGTGAGGATGTTGCATGCAAGGGTTGACAGGATGCTGTAAGGCAGGTAGACAATTATCGAGTAAAGAAGCAGCTGTTTAAAAGTGTGTTTTTATCAGATGAGTGCATTCACCTGAAAGAACATCAGGCATGTAAGTGCATGCGGGGCGTAAGTATGTGCACAAGCGAGCATGTCTTACTAATTTTTGAGATTTGTGAGCAGCGTGACTGCGTCTGGTATGCGTCCAAACAAATTGTTGTTGGACAGAGATCTGCAAGCCATCATGGTGAAGACATGGTGAAAGCATGGTGGTGAAGACATAGTGAAGGCATGGTGAAGGCATGGGATTTGACAAGCACACATGCATGCACACATGGAAGAGGGGAGACAAGGAGAGGAGAGGAGCGGGTGAGAAAACAGAAGATGAGAATACAGCAGATAAGAGGAGAGAATAACGAGGAGAGGAGAGGAGACATCACTGTAATAGTGGAGTCCAGAGTGAGAAATGGTGGTGGAGTGGAGGCTCAAGACACTATGTTCTTTGTTCTCAAGATGAAAGAGCTTGTGCTCATAGTGGCAAGGCACGATACTATGGTGACGAACGTTGGTAAAGTGTACACGGTAGGCGTTCTTAATGGTGAGGTTTCTTTGCGGCTGCTAGGGAAGCTATGGCCCAAGCTTGTAATGAGTTTCTTACTATTGCCACTCATGAGCTCAAGTATGGATATCCTAGACAGGAATGTGCCAAAGAATTGAACCGAGTCGGACCGGGCAGGGCAGGGCGTCACACTGAAACAGTCTTGTTCAGGGAAGTTTGAAGTTAGGTTGGCCACACACACTACGGTACAGATGTGATTTGAATGCAAGTTCAGTTCCTGAATAGGAGCGAACAGCCTTCTTACTGCATCAACCATCCAGCTGCCTGCCAGCATGACGTGCCTTGTAGATGCCTGTCAGGACACTATACCACATAACTGTGCCTCCCTTTCTTCGTACCCCTCACCCTCTTCCTTCCAGATTACCTATGGTGCACACAGTGCTGAGTCCTGACCCTGTCCATCATGGGCCACAGCATGGTTTTCCTCTCTCCCAGATGCAGCCAGCACATTCTACCACTGGCATGGTTCGGGTCCAGGATTAGTGTCAAACTGGTTCGGTTGTTCGAAAGGGCTCAGGTCAGGACCTTAGAAGGCAAACTGGCAGAACCAGGCTCAGCCAAACAAGTGATAGTTAGAATCCAATCGGGGGGCCAGAAGTAACCTCTTGCTTTGGTTGAGCGGTGAACCGAACCGATTCTAACCAAAAAGAGGCTGGTTCAGTGCTCATACCTACAACAAGTCTCAGGTCGTATTCGGTTATCATCCCTGTCACATATGCTTGCCATACACACCTAACAATATCCACTCACAAATTTCTGAGTTCGACAAGGTTTCCAATTGCAGATGGAAGTGTTTGAGTGAGCTTGTTACCGTCAAGCCACCTGCACAGACAGCATGACAGGCATGGGGAACGACAGGCATGGGAAATCACAGGCATGGGAAATGACAGGCAAGGGGAAAAGGCAGGGTGAATGGCAGCCAGAGTGAATGGAAGCCATGTTGCAGACTTACCATCAACGCAAAAGTGCATACAGCTTTGCTGATGGCGCATCATCCTTTTCTGTGCCCATGGTTAAACGTTGATGTGTATGCGTGCCCATGGACTATTGATGTTCTGTGGTATACCGTTGTAGTTTTAGTTACCCAGCGCCATCTCATCATCCGTGCATGCATGTCATGCCTCCTCAGAATCACTCCCATCCCCATGTCATTCCTGGGCACATGGGGTTTCTGGATGCATGAGGATTCGTTTGCCTTACAGCTCCTGGAGGGCTGTCAGTGCGGAGAGGCTGTCTGGGAAGGACCCTGTCAGCTGGTTCAGCCTCAGATCCCTGCCCCACAGAGAGCAGACACACAAGAGGAGAGACAGACAGGAGTGACAGGCAGGGCTATTAGGATAGAGCATAGGAAAGGTCTGGCAAGGAAGAGTACGTATAATAGGCATAATGGACAGGGATTGGTTGCCCACATAATGGACAAGGAGCGTGTAGCTCAAGTGTCTACAGGGGACTGTGTGACATTGTAGAAATGGCAAAGAATGATAAAGGAGTGGTTGCATAGAAAGGAGTGACTGACAGAGCGGGGCGGGAGGAGAACAACTTGAACGCCAGCAGACAGGACTAGAAAGCTGGGAGTTCGTTCCACGAGGGCTTACAGGTACGTGAGCTTCTGTAAGGAACTCATTTCAGATGGAATGGAGCCTGACAGCTGATTACTGGCCATTTTCCTACGGGCAGCAGGGGTACAGGGGAGGGTGGTAGCGGTATATGAGAATGGGATGTGTGTGTGTGCGTGCGTGCCTGCATGTGTGTGTGTGTGTGTGTGTGTGTGTGTGTGTGTGGGCGCACGCACGCGCGTGTGTGGGTGTGTGTGTGTGTTTGGGGGGGGAGGGGAGGGGGGGGGTGCGTGCGTGCTTGTGTGTGAGTGTGTGTAGCGTGCTCATGCAGATTTCTGGTGATAACTAGAAACCCAGCTCTGGCCGCAGTGGTATGGATGGCGCCACTGATTGCAGCAGTGGTGATGCAGCAGCAGCAGCAGAAGAACTTGGAGACACATGAGCTAATGAAATGATGGATCAAGAGAGAGATTTATGTCTCCAGGAGGAGATATTATGTCTAAAGTGGGCAGGAATGACGACCACGAGCAATCGTTTGAGCAAGACTGGCTCAAGAGCTTCTGAATGATCTGGGCGGAATCGCTTTGAGGCAGAGCATGGTTTGCTTACTGAGTACATGAGGGTGAGCTGAAGAAGTGAAGCTAAGCTAAGCCAAGTCATCAGAATCCATCTGGGCCAACTGAGTTAAATCTACCCAACACCAGGACTTACAGGGTACACAGTTCTGTAAGGGAGCCAATAGTGGACGGGATGGAGTCAATGAACTGGTTGTTGCTTAAAGACCTGTGTTGACAGAGCATGCATGAGAAATGACACGACAGCAGACAGGATGGGACAAACGAAGTACATCGGTTGGTGGTAGAGTGATAAGTTGATAACCGTTCCGGCTGCAAAGTCATAACAGAGACTAAGTGAGAAGTTTGAAGCAGAAGGAAATAGAATGGACCACGCATAGCAGACTGTTTGGAAACAACAACTCAACAAAGGGGACGTGAAAGCAGGAAAGGATTATTTAAGATACATGGAACAAAAGTACATATGGGTGCACGATAATACAGAAACATTAGCCATGACAGCATAGAAAAAGAGTAAGAACAGACGGAGTCCAGATGCATCTATCTCTCACATTCCATTTTTGCGCCCACATTCCACTTGCATCTCTCACATGTCAGGTGCGTTTCACATTACAGCTGTGCCCACAACACAAACAAATCTTGCCATCATGCTCTCCTTCCAAAACTCACAAGGTCGTAAGAGCATTAATTTCACTGATGCTGGCCGGGATGCTGCCATCAAACTGGTTGGAAGAAAGATCTCTGGTATAGGATGAAACAGAATAGAAGTCCAAAGGATAGCACAGAATGGAAAGTGCAAATGTCAGTCGGGAAAGCTAAGATGGGGAATTGAGCAATGGCAGGCGGAACGGAACACAAGGCGGAAACAGAGTGATCAATGCAACCGGAATGGGACGTTGAAGCGAAGCAGGGAACAAAATGATTCTTACAGAATACCCATTCCAAATGCTCCTTTTAAATTTTGCCGTGTTCGCTAGTGGATAAGACGACACAGCTACACAGCAACGTGACACAAACCCGGCACAGAACCAGCACAATCTTTCCCTGCCACTGTAAATCCTATCAGCCAAAATGTGAGCCCATCCAGGACTTACTCAAGCCCGCAGCTCTGGTTTGGAGCATTCAAGCTGAGCCGGGGCAAGGAGAGAGGGATAAGCTCTTCATCCAAACTCACAAGATCTCCAGACCATATAGATCACTGAGGCTAGCAGGGATGCTGCCTGAGAGCAGGTTAGATGAGAGATCCCTGTAACAGGACACAACATGCAAGGGATGGCACAGAAAGCGAAGTTGTTGATGGGAAACAAGAATAATTGGATGTAGGAGTAGGAAAACAAGAACGGAATCAGAGTAAAAGGTACAATTTTGAATGCTCAGCCAAAGTGCTCTTGGGGACAAGGGAGGAAAAGCAGAGAGAGAGAACTAGGAGATTGGAGCGAAGAAGAGAACTTACATCTCCCTTACGTAAGAACCATAGCCTGTAAATGCATCAAAGGAGCCAGTGAGCTGATTACCCGCAAGGTACCTGGGTAGGTGAAGGCAAGAGAGGCACACGGAATGAGTGAAAGAGAAGCAACACGATTGGAGGCAGAGAGAGAGAGAGAGAGAGAGAGAGAGAGAGAGAGAGAGAGTGTGTGTGTGTGTGTGTGTGTGTGTGTGTGTGTGTGTGTGTGTGTGCGCGAGTGCGAGTGTGAGTGTGAGTGCGAGTGCGTGTGCGTGTGCGTGTGTGTGTGAGTGTGAGTGTGTGTGTGAGTGAGTGAGTGAGTGAGTGTGTGTGTGTGTGTGTGTGTGTGTGTGTGTGTGTCGGTGTGTGCGTGCGTGTGTGTGAACGTTTGTGTGTGTGAGAGAGAGAGAGAGAGAGAGAGAGAGTGGGGGAGAGAGAGCGATAAATGAACGATCTGCATATAACCTAACTGGTTCGTTGTTTCTCACACTCTCCGCAGTAAGAGCGCGGTAAAGTCAGCAGGGATGCTGTTCGTAAGCTGGTTGTGTGAGAGGATACTGCAATGGTAAGACATGCAATGGAAAGGCATGCATTGGAGAGTTGTGCAAGGAAAATTCACGCATTCGAAAGTCATGCAACGGAAACTCATGCCATGGGAAGGCATGCAATGGAAAGGAATTAAAAGACATGCAATGGAAACATATGCAAGGGTTGGAAAGTTGATTAGGTGAAAAGTGCACTGCAATGCAAATGAATAAGCTTCTTGAGACTTGAGCGATCAACTGGCGGACACCGCCGCCAGATGCTTAGCTACTTGAGAAGGTGAACGCACAGATACATGTTTCTCCCTAAAGGGACAATTTCTCATTACACATGATACAACTACCGACGCAATTATTGCATCAAAATGCTCTTTGTCACAAAACGAGTTATATGTGGACCGGACTTAAGAAAACTACTGCTAGCTAGTACAATGCAATGCAAGGGATGCCAAAGGGACGTGATGAGTGGACTGATGAAGGTGTGAGGAGGAAGGGAAAGAAGGCTCCCTGGCACGGGGTCTACCATTCTGGCAACCAAACAACAAAGAGGAGCAGAGCAGGTGGACAGGAAAAAGAGAATGGTGGTCGAGCGCAGCAGCTATTTAGTCCATCCAATGTTCACCGAGCAGGCACAGTAATGCAGAGTTATGACAACGCAGTCTTACAGATCGTCCAGGTTTCTGAGAGTGCTTAATTCAGCAGGGATCGAGCCAGTGATTTGATTTTGACTAATATCACTGCGATTGTCAAATAAGGAAAGAAGAGATGGAAGATCGCAGTGATATTAGTCACAATGAATGAATGGGAGCCAGTAGCAAGCGAGCAGAGCTGACGAGAAGAATAGACTAAGAAGGAGAGAAGGAAGGAATTATGGCGAAGCAAGTGGGAATAAGACTAATGTGAGCAGGAAGCTTGAGATGTGAACCATGCGCAGAGGACGGGAGAGGAGAGCAGAGGGAGTGATGGCAATACTCTGAGAACACAAGAGCGTATACACGAGAAAAGGAAGATGAAGCGGAGGAGGAGGAGGAGGAGGAGGAGGAGGAGGAGGAGGAGGAGGAGGAGGAGGAGGAGGAGGAGGAGGAGGAAAGAGCTTTCTTTTACAGTTTCCACAGTTTCCCGAGGGCACTGAAATCAGCAGGGATGCTGCCTGTGAGCAGGTTGGATGAGACGTTACTGTGATGGTTTGAAGCATGCAAGGGAGAGAAAAAAGAGAATGAGCTGATCGTTACAAGAAGAGCACAGGGAAAACTATGTGAGCAGACTGGCTGAGCAAAGCAGGCCCCTCAGAAGTTTGTATATAAGCAGAAGAGAAAACTATTCTTTTTAGTCGTAAATTAGCAGACTGGGTTGAAGTACCTAGGATATCAGAATATTAGTACACATGAAAGGAAAGGCACCACGTGCAGTGCACAAGATGTTGGACGAGCAGCAGCGGTTGAATCAATCGAGTAGGACTGCAAATTCGAACATTCCTGCCTGATTACGTTCACATGCATGTATGGATACATCTGCAGTGCTAGCTTTTCAGAAATGAAACCGTGAGCGGGCATTGGAATGAAAGAGAGGAGCCGAAGGTGCTTGGAAGGGTAAATACTTGTGGCAGAATAATAGCCGGTGACAGCATGGAATGAAAGGAAATTGGTATGAGAACCCAAGGACTTACATAAACTCCAAAGTTGTAAGCAAGTTGAGCTTTCCGGGGATTGAGCCTGTGAGCTGATTGTTACCAAGGTATCTGAGATGATACGCATCACATATGAATGGAGATTGAGCAAAAGACAGATGAGACAGGCATGCGAAATGTGCACTGACAATGTCAGGAAATGCTGTGAACTGTAAAAGGATAACAATATGCGCAGATAAAATTAAAGAACAGTGGTTAGATTTCAGCTGTTACTATGCGTGACATCCGTCCGCACATAAAATAGAGGAGCAGAATAATGGGAAACACAAGTTTGGAGAGTGCAATGCAACCACTTTGCTGACCCTGTGAGAATTTCTGCTGGCAATTCAGCACGATTCAGGTCAGCCATCTTAAAGCCCTCCTACCTTTTGCCAACTGTGCATTGCTTTCAGATAATTCTGGTCTGGTAGGGCCGTTTTCGATAGTCAGCGGTGCGTAAAAACATCATGGTAAGATCACTAGCAGAAACAAAACGACAGTGCCAGATGGAGATAAGGAAGGGGCTCTGGGCAGTCATGGCCAGGTACAAATCTAGTCTAGCATGAGAACACCGGAGTCTTATCGATGAGAAGCGTCAAACAGAAAAAGTGGTGGAAGAGAGTAAGGAAGAAAGACTGTGGTGTGGATATAGGATCTTACAGTTCCCTTAGAGGACCATATGGCGCAACTGGAGTGGGAATCGAACCACTGAGTTTGTTTCCTTCAAGGGATCTATGACAGAAGGGGGGGTTACAAGACATGCAAGACGACAAAAAAAAGCACACAAAATGACAGTTTTATACATAGAGTATGTACATGTCAATTAGCATATGTATAACGTAGAGAAACTTTCATTCTATCAACGCATGCTTACCTAGTAGATTCTGTATGGTTATATATAGTTAATGTCACATACAATAATCATAGTTTTATTTCTCAGAACTCTCAAAACTGACTCCCATACATGAACCCAGCTCATCATAGCAACATTCCTAGATTTCGAGATGAGGAGCAGGTCGTTTTTTCCCCAAAAAAAATGTCAACTCGAAGATGTGCTGGTTCCGATCAAACCATTCAATTCGGATCTGTTTGCGATTTATGGTTGAGCCACTGAACCAGTCCTGGTTGGTTTGTCGGTTACCAGACAGAGTTGTTGCAGCTCAATTTTGGGCTCCAATACTGTTTTTGAATAATATGCCCAACCCCTCCTCATCATAGTTGGTGTGTAGGATAATATATGTCCCCTATCCACAGACCCCATAATTCTGCCTGATTGAGAATACTCGGTTCAACTCGAACCAAAGAAATTTGACCATTTCGGGGTGGAGTTTAAACCAATGTCGGACCCAGTTTGGTTCAATTTGACCTGAACTGGTTCTTTTTTCCATTAGGTAAAACACAAGGTAGGTGAGCAGGGAGCGTTGGAGGATTGGATGGTTTACAGAAAGAACAACCAAGGGGTTGAAAAGACTTCGACGGGAAGGGAGCCATCGAGCTGATTGTTGGTAACAAACCTGAAGCGTTCAATGAGGATAGGAATACATGGAAGAGGTGGATGAAAGTAGAGATGTGAACAAGGGGCGTATAAGGAATGCATGGAAGAGGGGGGTGATATATTGATGACGAATATTTTACGAAATGAACAGTACAAGGGGAGGAAAAGCATTGAATTGGGAGGAAAATCCAAGAATGGATGAATATTCACGAACAACGCAAGGGGTAGGACAACCATCGAACTGGATGACAATCCAAGGAAGGACATCTCATACCCCCTCCAAGGAATGACGAGTGGTGTAGGGAGGAAAATCATAGAATCGACAAGCATCAAGAAGAAGGAGAAAATATTGTAATGAAGGCTTTCCAACCTAGCAAGGCCTCACAGGTTGTAAAGGGTTGTAAGGCTGGTGATTGTTGGAGGTATTGAACCAGTGAGCTTGTTATATGAAAGCTCTCTGTGAAAATCAGATCACAGCATCCCATGGAAGGACGAAAAGCAGTAAGGCCTCCATGAATCCGAACAAACTGGTAGGAGCAACGGCACGAGCTCATAAAAGTTATAGATCATGTTCTGGACTGGGAAGTGACGGGCTTTTCATATTCTCAAAAGTGAGTCGTTTGCAGAAAGGGAACAAGAGATGGGGTAGGAACAACAAGGGAATGGTACTACGGGGGAAGACAAGGAAATGTAACACGGGGAAGACGAAAACTCAACAGGGGGAGAAGGAGAGGAGGGGAGGGGGAGAGATGGTATCATGGGCATTGACCAATTGTCATGAATAGATACAAACAGGCGAAGACAGGTAGCTTGACGTCACAAGGGAACGAGATTTGGTGAAGCAGGGCAGAGGAAATTGAGGAGGGGGGGTTAGAAGTAAGTGGGGGAAGGGGGGGAGGGGGGGAGTGGGGGGGGGGGGGGGGGGGCTTTAATGGTGATCGATGTGTGGACAGGGTTAATATTGCACCAGAAATTGGGAGGTCAGAGAAAGAGAGGGAGGACAGAAGGCCAAAGGACAGAAAGAGAGAGGGAGGACAGAAGGTTGAAGGATAGAGAAAGAGAGAGAGGACAGAAGGTTGAAGGACAGAGAAAGAGAGAGAGAGGACAGTTAAACGGCAGCAAGGGAGTCGCTGAATAAGACGACAGGTGAGGAAAGGTGGGTTTAGAAGGTGGGTATATATGTAGACAAAGCATGCGTCTTACATTGTGGTCAGGCCTGTAAGCAAGCCAATAGTACTGGGAATCGACCCGCTGAGCTGATTCATATACAAATTTCTGTTATGATCATATGATATGCAATCAAGTGGCACGTGTGTGTGCGTGCAGAAAGGTGGGGGTCATCAATGTGTGGGGAGAACGGATGAGCAAAGATGAGACACAGAGTAAAAAGAGGAACATGGATACAAATTAGAGGAAAGGCCAGAGAATACAAAGTTGGAAGGAGGGGAGTCAGCATCGAGATGAAAGACAAACGCATAAGAGAGCAGGAGAATAGAGGCAGGCAATTGATTCAAATATACACAGAGGCATGAGGATAAGGGGCGGGAAGGCAAAGCAACAAGAGAAAAAGAAGGAGAAGAGTGGACACGGCAGTGGGATGGGCTCAGGATGGGCCGAGCTGGGGTGGGCTGGATGGGCCGAGCTGGGGTGGCCATCCCAATCCATATTCTGGTGTGATAAGTCGATTTTTGGTGGGCGTTGCCGTTATGCCACGTCCGGGTAAATACTAGTCAGTCCGTCTCAATCGATGGCCCGAACCCCTCCCTCCCCCCCTCCTCCGGGTGGTGGGACAGCCTGGGCGGGTCAGCGTGGGCGTGTCCCTTGCCCATTGCAGCCTGGCGGGTCAGGCTGCTCAAGAGTGGGCATGTGGCTATTGCATGTGGCTGTGAGTGGGCATAACACGCAACGCACTTACAGGTAATTCAGATATTTAAGGGAGCCGATTGAAGAAGGGATAGGCCCAGTGAGATTATTATTCAGAAAATACCTGTGTAGAAGGGAGCCGATTGTAGAGGGGATAAAGAACACACACACACACACACACACACACACACACACACACACACACGCACGCACGCACGCACGCACACGCCCCCCCCCACACACACACACACACACACACACACAAAACGGTAGGGGGGGCTAAACCACACATAAACTGTCAGCGAGTACATTAGAGGCTTTTTTTTTTGTTTCTGGGGCAACGGAGAACACGGAGATGCACAGGAGAGAATATGAGAGAAAGACAAGTATGAACTAGCTACTTCTCTGTTGTTGCTATTCAGATCAGATTCTTTGCAGCGGCTTGCTGCTTGCCTATATTAACGACCAAATTATCGCAGCTTCATAGTCATCAGACGAAAAAGACACTCAGAGCTTTGAGCTTTATTAACCGTCCTGCAAGGCAATTGTACGGAGTCTATTATATATATTGCCGTGCATTAAGCTACCAAGATTCCTTGCACCTAGGAACGAAGCGGACAGAAGAATTACTGGAAAGAGTGGGAGCAAGCCAACATGCATTGGTCAGGAGAGAAACTGGGGAGGACGGTAAGAAGCTCCAAGACAGCAACGGCCTTACATAATTCTCAAATTTGACAGAGCTCCAAGTTCTTCAGGGATCGATCCAGTCAATTGATTGCTGGCAAGATTTCTGTCACAACAACCACAAAAGTTTGATGCATCAACACAGTTTGCATACACGAGGACAGAAGATAAGAGAACCCTTATTAACCAATAGGGAAACCCATCAGAAGATGTGAAGGTTGCTCATGGGAAAGTGTTTCTAACAAGGAACAACCGCATCAACACTGAACAACGTTAAAGGAGATTGGATAGTGGTAGGAGAGGAGCAGCAGGAGTTAGAAGTTAGGAAAGGAGGGACGGATGAAGAAGGGGTAGAAGCGGACGAAGAATCACAATCCCATCAGGAATGAAATGAAGCCTGTGAGCTGTGTCAGAAGGCTTACAGGTGTGTCAAGTCCGTCAGAAGGGTAATCCCATCAGGGATGGGACCTGTGAGCTCCGCTCTTGGTAGACGTCTGTGGTTATGAGCGTGTTTCGCGTGTTGGGATTTGGATGGTGCGTGGGTGGCACACGTTGGCGAGACGGATAGGGGGGAACAGGGGAGGACGGAAGGAGCAAGGAAGATTGAGAGGAAGAATGACAAAGATGATGGGAAATGGTCTAGTTTTGAGGCGCCTCCCAACTAGAATTAGAGGAAGAATGCCAATGATGATGGGAAAGGAACAGCAAGGACAACAAACCACAGGGAACAAAACAAACGATTAAAATTAGGAGAGAGCTAATCAGAGAAGCAAAAAGAGCTATTGCAGGATTGGCCCAAGAGCAGGGAGTGGGCTAGGGAAATTGACAAGGCAAAAATAGTTGCTCATATATGATAGACGCATGCGCATATCAAACATAGATCTTGCACGCCACACATAAGAGGGTATAGTTGGTCTTAGTCCTTTCCTTGGCCATGACTCACAAGACTTGCAGTTTTCTCAGCGCGCTGATGCTTGAAGGGATGCTTCCTGAGACCCGAGTGTATGCAATTTCACTGCGAAACATTTGGAGCATGCACAGACATTATTGCCATACGTGGGTAAAACTCATTATGTGATCAAACGCAACAAGTTCTCTGTTGATGTATCTAATATGGATACTGTCATAGCATCATGTTCATCAAATTACAGTCAGAGTCTATCAGATAAGAAAATATATATTGAGAGAACGAGCGTGGCTTTCTACTGTTACTGAACAAGCGAGCATATCTCTCGAACTGTCACATCAGCTCCGCAGCACAACGTGGTAATGTTTTGCCTGGTCCTTGCTCCTTAAGTTTGCAGTTCATCCCCTACGTGAGCCCACAGGGAGGTCTTGATGGCCCAGCATACTACCGACTGGGTTAAAAGGGCATGTTTGTATGTGGTAGCACACCCATAAAATCCCAGGACGCACCTGTAGCCCTACTACACTCAACTAGGGACGATGCAATCCCAGTGCCCCACCAACAACCTCCCCCCACTGGGGTCGTCTCCCCCTCTCTTGGGGTTCGTTTAGACACTGGCGCTCACTTTGCGCACACTGGGATTCGAACCGGAGACCTTTCTGGCTAGCACGCCCATAACCCCCCTGGACGCACCTGTAGCTCCGACACTCAACTAGGGACGATCCCAATGCCCCACCAACAGGACTTTCCCTCTCTCCCTCGCCCCATAGGCGCAATCTGTGA